GCCCCTGCCCCTGCCCCTGCCCCTGCCTCGTGCAGACCAGCGCTGCGAGGGGGTTTCGTGGGCTTTTGCTGGAAGGTTTTTTGTGTTTTTTTAATCCTCACCGAGGATTTTTTTCATTGATTTTTAGGGAGAGGGGGAGAGGCCGTGGGGAACTTCACACCGTGAGGGGGAAGCGCTACCCGTGATTGTCAAGTCCTTCTTGGCAGCGGAAACACATGCCTCCTGCATGAGCCCTGACCAGGGCCCAGGCCGGGGAGAAGCCTGCAACGAGGTACGTGCCCTTGACTGGAATCGAACCCAGGACCCTTTGGTCCGCAGGCAGACGCTCTATCGACTGAGCCACACCGGCCTGGGCCCGCAGGAGGTTCTGAGGCCCAGTGCTGTCCCGCCCCTTGGAGGTCATGACCCTGGCTGAGCAGTGCCTCTCCTGGCGCTGTTGTGAGGTGTCAGCACGGTGCGCACAGAACGTCTTAATGTTGCGGACCAGCAGTTCCATGGCCAGTGTTACCCAGTGGCCAGGAAGTTCTACTGAACGAGGACAAAAGCGTTTTACAGAAACGTTAAAGGCAGGCTTTAAGTCACACACCCGTTGCATCTTGAAGTCATTTATTAAACGTTCTCACAAGCTAATACCTTTTGAAAGTCCGATACTTTGTAAAACCCTGTGCGATAGGAAGCGAGCATTCTGCTATCGCCGCGACCTGCTCAGAACAGGTTTCCTTCTGGGGTTTGTCCGACTGCAGTCGCTGGCTTGGCACCGCAGGTTGTGCGCATTCTCGGCTGTTTCCCTGGTCCTCGGGCGTGTGTTCCCACGTGAGTGGGTAAACCCGCTGGTTCTGACGGGGGCACAGGGCTGCCCTTTGGGGGTGCCTGGCTGAGCCAGGATTCTGTTTCTGAGGCTGTCTTCCCGCTTTTTATTATCACTTTTAGATTCTGTTGTTCAGATACCCCCCCCCCCCCCCCCCCCCGGCCCCTATGGTTGGGAATGAGCCGGGAGGTGTGGGTGCGGAGAGAGGGGCAGGCAGCCTCCTGTTCTCCCCGCAGGCCGAGAAGGTGTTCATGGTGGCCCGGGGGCTTGTCCGCGAGGCTCAGGAGCAGCTGGAGGTGCAGCAGGCCAAGCTGAAGGAGGTGAGGGGCCGCCTGGACCGCATCTCCAAGGAGGACAGCCAGTACCTGGAGCTGGCCACCCTGGAGCACCGCATGCTGCAGGTAGGGCCCGGGGATTCCTCCTCACCTGGGCAGGGCCCAGCGGGCAGGCCAGGGAGGGGCCCGGTGGGAGCCCGGCTGGTCTGGTGGTCAGGCCTGGGCAGGAGTAAACCAGAAGCTCCTTGGAGGGACAGGGCCCCAGGCTTGCTCAGCCCATCGCCCACGCCCTCCCAGAGCACTGGGTGGACGTGCCGGGCACGTGCTCTGGCCCCAGATTGCCAAGGAGGGGCACCAGAGGGTGGTAGGCACATTCCTCTTCTGGCAAACGCCAAGACGGCTCGGGTCGGAGGATAGTGCGGCCGCTCCGGCCACCCGGCTCCTTCGCTCCCCCTCACCAGGCTCACGCTGCCGGCAGTCGTTGGCATGTCATCTGTGCCGGGCACAGGCTGAGCCCCGGGTGACCGTGGGAATCTGCGGGCAGCTGTGGCGGGGGGCCAGTCGCACGACCCGCTGTGTAACCAGCTTCGCTTCGGCAGGAGGAGAAGAGGCTGCGCATGGCCTACCTGCGGGCCGAAGACTCTGAGCGAGAGAAGTTCTCCCTCTTCTCGGCGGCCGTGCGGGAAAGCCACGAGAAGGAGCGCACGCGGGCCGAGAGGACCAAGAACTGGTCCCTCATCGGGTCGGTCCTGGGGGCCCTGATCGGCGTGGCCGGCTCCACCTACGTGAACCGCGTGCGGCTGCAGGAGCTGAAGGCCTTGCTGCTGGAGGCCCAGAAGGGGCCCGTGAGCCTCCAGGAAGCCATTCGGGAACAGGCGTCCAGCTACTCCCTCCAGCACCGGGACCTGCACGACCTCATAGCGGACCTGAGGGGCCTGGTCCAGGCTGAGCCGGGGCCGAGCTCCGGGGCCCAGGCGGGGACCCCCGCCCGGGACAGTGATGCCGACGCCCTCTCAGCCGCCCTGAGAGAGCAGCTCAGCCACTCCCGGCAGGTCCGTTCTTGTCTGGAGGGTCTGCGAGAGCAGCTCGACCGCCTGGAGAAGACTTTCGGCCAAGTGGCCGGGGTGGTGCAGCTTGCGAAGACCGCCGACCCGGTTCTGCCTGGCTCTGCGCTGGAGCCGGGGGGCCTGGTCTTGGTGCTGCCGGACATGGAGCAGCGGCTGGAAGCCCAGGTCAACAGGAACACCATCTACAGCACGCTGGTCACCTGCCTGACGATCGTGGCCACCATGCCAATGCTCTACGTGCTGTTCAGGGCCAGCTAGCCCGGACGGCTCCGAGGGCCTCGGCTGGCTGGTGTGGATGCAGTAGAGGGTCCTGGTGGGGAAGTGAATCTTGGGGGACACACGCCGCCTCAGCCTGAGCCGGGTACCGTCTGTGTGGTGCCTGGCAGACGGACACATTTTCCTTCTTGGGCAGTGCTCATCTATATTAATTATGAAGACTTTGTGCTAACATCTCATTAACATGTCTTTGCGTTTATGTTATTTAAAGTAATTTATATCAACTGAGTTTTACTTTTTGAAAGTTGAGATTCAAGACTCGAGGGTTTGCAAAGAACTTATATACTTACTAGAGGCCTGGTGCACAACATTTGTGCACTGTGGAGGGGGTGGTCCCTCGGCCCAGCCTGTGCCCTCTTGCAGCGCTCCCCCTGTGGGAGTGCACTGACCACCAGGGGACATCTGCTCCTGCATTGAGAATCTGCCCCCTGGTGGTCAGCGCACATCATAGCGACTGGTCATTCCACCGTTCGATCAATTTGCATATTACCCTTTTATTATATAGGATGTGCATAGCCCACGGACACAGGCAATAGGGTAATGAAGACCTGGGGGGTTGAGGATGGGAGTTAATGGGGTGGTGGGAGATATCTGTAATATCAACAATTTAAAAAACATTTTAAAAAATTAAAACTATTTAAAAAATAAAACAACAAAAGACTTGAGGGCTGGTCTGGAATTACTCTCCCCCTTCAGCTCCTCTCGTCCCATGGTCTCCTTGGTTCGGGATGTTCTGATGGGTTTACCCTTGAGGTCTGGGCCTTCATTTTGGGTTTCCTGGCCTGCCCTCTGCCTGCCCAGCTGTCCCGTGTCAGGTAGCCTGGGTGTTCAGTGAGTGGAGCCTCATCTGCTGCCCGCCATTGGTAGCCATGGTTACTGCCCCTCTCTGGATCACTTTCTCTGCCACGGTGGGGGGAACCCGCTGGTTCTAATGCTGGTCAGATACTCAGAGGAGAGCTGGGGGAGGGTGATGAATACTCTGGAGACATAATGACGGGACTGGTGGCCGGTCTGGGTCCCTGGGGCAGTGCTTTAGGTGCCACTGGGCTGAGTGTCCCCCTACCCAGCCCAGGGGTGGCCCTTACAGGCCTGAGCAGAGGTCAGCTTGCCGGCAGCAGGAAAGGGAGGTGGTGGTGGGGAGGGCCTCCCAGAGGTGGGCGGGGCCTTGGAGGCATGCAGGCTGACTACCCTGAGGACCTCTGACCTGCTTTTTCCAGGGGGAAGGGCAACCTTTGACCTCCCGGGCTACATGGCGTGGGTGGCCTTGTGTGTCCTGAGTAAGCAAGGGCAGTGGGGAGGCGCTTGCACTCCGGCTGGGCGTCGGAGGCCTCCTTTCAGAGCACCCCGAGGTGGTGCCCGGCCTGTGGGCAGGTGCCCCTGGGGGCGTGCTGAGCAGAGGCCCCTGGAGCCAGTTTCCCAGGAGGTGCCCTCCCTCTTTCAGGCTGTGCTCAGTCCAAGTGACTGACACACACACACACACACACACACACACACACCCTGACCCAGTGCTATGAACCGCCGAGCAACTGGTCCCTTGGTCATTTGGTCATTTCATCCCTGGCAAGGTTTTCTTTGTTTTTGTTGTTTTTATTTTTACTGATTTCAGAAGAGAGAGAGAGAAAGAGAGAGAGATACAATGATGAGAGAGAACCATTGATCGGCTGCCTCTTGCACACCCCTCCCCCCCACTGTGGATCAAGCCCACAACCGGGGCACGTGCCTTTGACCGGAATCGAACCCGGACCCTTCCGTCCACAGGCCAACGCTCTATCCACTGAGCCACACTGGCTGGGCAGCAGGGTTTCCCTTGTAATGGTCCCCAGGATGGTATGGGATGAGATGACCTCTGCACGTGGGCTGTTCCACCTCCTATGGGGCAGGAGGGGCCGTATCTGTGGACAGATGAGGCTACAGTGGGGTTTGCAAGTCCCAGGTCCCCCTGTGGGTGAGGTAGGTCCAGAAGGGTGTGCATTTGACCAATGGAGGAGAGGGTTACAGACGCTGAAGGGCTGCCCCGGTGGAAAAGCTGTGACCTGGCTCGGGGTGGCTGTGGGGGTGTGTGGAGCATCAGGTGAGAGAATGAGGGGTGGAGCTGGGGTGCCAGATTGGCAGGCACCTGGGGTCCTGATGTCCGAGGCCCGGGGGTGATGGACCTGGGAAGGGGGTCGGGGAGAGGGGCAACCTGAGATGTTGGGAGGGAATTTGGGAGGCAGAGTTGGGTAGATTGGAGCGAAGGCAGACTCTTCTTGTCCTCACCCGAGGATATTTTTCATTGATTTTAGAGAGAGAGGAAGAGAGGGAAAGCCCGGGAGAAACATGGATGTGAGAAACACATCGATGGGTTGCCGCCTGCAGGAGCCCCGACCAGGGCCCGGGCCAGGGAGGAGCCTGCAACCGAGGTACCTGGCCTTGATGGGAATCGAACCCCGGACCCTTGGGTCCGCAGGATGACGCTCTCTCCGCTGAGCGGAACTGGCAGGGCATGAAGGCAGACTCTTGCTGGAGGCTGGCAGGGGAAGAGGGTGCTGCTGGTGGTAGCTCTTTGGGTGGCAGCCAGTGTGGGTGACCCGAGCCTCAGGTTCTCTCTCTCTCTCTCTCTCTCTCTCCCCCTCACGCGCACACACACACACATACACACGCGCACACATACACACACATGCATGCACACATGCACGCGCACAGGCACGCACACACACACGCACACGCACACACGCGCACACACTTGCGGAGCCCCTGGGGGCTTCCAGGGTGATGTGTGTGACAAATGTGCCTCCCGGGGGCCTGGAGCCCCTTCCCCAAGGTTTTTGGAATATAGCAATAGAAGAGAAGATGGGATGCTAAGTCTTATTCATCATACCACAACAGCTTCAAAATTAGCAGGTATTTCTCCTCTCCTATTATAGTGTCCATACTAGAGCTTTTTAGCAGAAATAAAAATAGAAAAGTTTATCATTTAAATTGATTCATTTCACCACCATCTTTATCCATTTGTAGTAACTCCTATCAAACTCACTATTGGGTTTTCTTTGAAAATGGTTAATCAATTTTTAAAGCATTTATAAAGATCCAACCAGGTATCAGGCAGTGGTAAATAGTAGGGACATAACAATGGACAGCACAGACTCCTCATGTAACATCATGCACTTTATACCCATAGCAAGAAAACAAGACATTAACCAATAATCCCAAGCACGGTAAGTATTAAAAAGGTGAAGTACAAGGTGCTATGGGAGCATTCAAAAGGTAAAACCTGTCACAGTTTGGAGATCGGAAAAGACCCCAGAGGGATTCTCACATACTGATGATAACAGCAGGTTATTACCGCTTATTTAACAACTCTGCACCACGCCATTACTGTACAATAATTTACCTAAGCCTTACCAACAAGCTTACCATGTAGATAAAATTATTATCCCCATATTACAGAAAAGGAAACTGAAACACA